GACACTCAAGTCTCTGTCTTTGCAGCAGCAGAGTCCAAATGTAAAAAAAGTGACACAACCACAGGTTAATAACGTTCTTTCCCTTCAAAGATAAAAATCTTTCTTATTCCTAATTACATACTTTTATTTATGATTTCCCCTCCACTTAGAATGCTCCTTCTGTTAGAATTTCTACTTGCTTTCTTCTCTCTCAGACTACTTCTTATGCATGATATAGTGGCTATTAATTTGGCTTCCTACACAGCACATTGAATATTTGAAAAAGAAAGCCAGTATTAACTTTTTTAGAGGAAACCACAGTATGGAAAACTGATAATGTCTATGAACATTAACTTTTTCAGCTTCTCTGTTTAAGGCACCGGCAATGATATTCTCTGCTTAATAGCAGGAAGGTAATGTGATTGGCATTTCCTAAGAAACGAATTTTAATTTACTTAAAAAAAAATGCCGACAGATTATTCTTTGTAAAGCTAACAAACACATTCTGTCCGAGAAGTGTGACCTTAAGATTCCAGGAACATCTGCTTAGGTCGGTAAACTGAGCCAACTCATTTAACTCTTCCTGTAAAATAGGGAAAAAATAGGTTTCACTTACCTCACAAAGTTGTTAAGGGCTCATGTAAAAGGAACTCATACAATATTAGAGTTAGAAGAAATGTTCAGATCACTTAGTTGAACATTCTCATTTTATCAGTACGAAATTTTAGGTATAATACACTTGAGAGGAATCAGACTACAGAAAGAACATGGGTTTGGAATCGCTACCTCCATAAACAAGAGTGTGTCATCGCTCCCTCAAATCCAAATCTCTAAGATTTAGTCATACAAATATTTCTGGCATTTAGCATAGCCCTAAAGTGGTAGTATTGCAACCACGGAGTGAACACAAATAAACAAGCAGCATAATATTAGAGTACTAAATAGTCAGTTAGGAATGAATATTCTGCAGGGAGGAGACTGATGAGCATCCTAGTATAACTTGAGCAGGACTCAGATTAGTAACCAATAGGTACACACACAGAATAACTAGAACTAATTACAAAATAAACTAAAAAATTGAATGGAAAAAGTACTGTTTTTTCTTAAAACTGCTGCTGTTTTACATATTCCCATAACCATTCCTGACAGTAAATATTTTATTTGTTTTCTAACACGACGTAAGAGAACATTTGAACAGTAGTGACATTCAAATCAGTTTATAAAGAGGTCAGGAAGAAGGGTGGTAGAGAGTAGGGATATACACAGGAAAGAGAGATAAGAAGGGTCTCTTGAAGAGGAAACAGCAGGAATTAGCAGCAATTTGTAGGTGAAGGGTAAGTTTAACTGGGAAAACTGGAGGATGCTCTACAAACTTTGTCAAGAATCATTAGAAGTTTTGAGATTTGGATTCAACTAATAACTTCTGAGACAGGACTACAAAACAGGTATCGTATTTACCCATAAGTTACATCATGTAATCTGTCAATGTTTGGGAAATAATTCACAGGCTCACCATTATCTACTCTGAGAGAAACATGATGCAGAAATTCACATATTTCAAAAACTTAGAAGGAAATCATATATTTCCACAAAACTTGCCTTACTAAAATGTCAGCTTTCTTTGGTGCAATTAAGTAAATTATGTCTTTAAAAAGAAATGTATTAGTATTTAATAAATCAGTTTGTTGGACAGATGAAATGTCCTAAGGTGAGGAATCCATAGAAGAAAAACAGTAAAAATGGTCTTTTGTGAAACGGAAATGGGGAAGCCACAGGGAGAGCATGAGTACTTCTAGCTAGCATACCCTGATCTACAGGTTAGTACTTGATGTCCACCTTGGCCTGATGTAAAAAGAACAGAGACATCAGTGGGAGAGTTTTAATTCAATGTTCCTGTTAATGCTCTAACTGAAGAAAACATTCACATACTCCAACTTATGACATAAACTGAGGTGGCAAATGCTCATTTGAACTTCCCTGTCAAGCAACAGGACACAAACAGAACAAGGGTCTCATTACAGAGAACCGTGGCCAACACAACCAACATTGTTTCCGTGCTTTAGATTTCCATACAGACAAGCAGAGGTGGAAATGGAAAACACTCTTGGGAGCATCCCAAATAGTTTGGGTTTTAGATATTGGAAAAAGCTTCTTTGATGAAGAGACATTAATCGAGAGGTTGGGCAGATTCACACACTTATTCTCAAAGCCATGAACTGAATGAATGAATAAACGCAATCTATTCCAGTGTCCCTGTGACCAAGGTAACATAATGTGGGCAACACATCTTAAAGACTACCATAATTTCTACAGGTACCCAAATGTGTTTATACTTAGCTGACTTGGGCTTGAGCAGGTTAAGGAACTAAACTTTCCGTCATGACCTATAGGTTTATATCCCTTTTTCTTTCTATTAATCACAACCCTCACACATACCTCTCTCATCCCAGACTCAAACGAGCAGGTTTCCTCATCTCCTCTACTCTTGCCTCTAACGCTATCCCAAAGGGAATAACTTCTAGGATGGATGATATATTCCATACTTCATGGAATATTCCACATTCCATTTAAGCATTGACCCCATATAGCTTAATCCACTCATCCTACTCTGCCACCAAGCCCCACCTTCCCCTATCACAAAACCTCTCAATTTTCTCTGCCAACAAAGTCCTTTCCACTATAATGGCTATGATGGAAAAGAGCAAGAAGTCAGGGCAGTTCAATCAGTTCTGTGACCCTGGGCAAGGTACTTCTATTTCTTGGGCCTCAGTTTCTCTACTGTAGGATAAAAGAGATGAAATATCTCAGAGGTTCTCAAGTGTGCTCCATAGAGTCCTAGAAGTTCCAGAGTCTCAACAGGAATTGCCAAAGAAAGGGTGGCAGCTGACAAAAGGCTTTGGGTGCACCTCTTCTCTTCTTTAATCAGAGCAACTCTGAGCTTTCATTTTATATATAGCTTCTGATTACTTTTAAGATAGGTTCTTAAAAGGTCTGAAAACTGCTTAGCAAGGCACTTAGCACTCATTTAATGAATGAATGAAAACCAAAGAGACTGGGATGATCTCTAAGATCCCTTCCAATTCCCACCTACTATGCTTCTGTGGCTGCTTGAATTATAGTCAAGTGTTACCTGTCTGCCTGTGTGCAAAGATACCAAGACTTCTGCTTATTCCTTCATTTTGGGACAAAAGAATGCCCAAGGTTGACTCTATAAAGTAGTTCCCTATAGCCACTGGGTATAAAGATTCAAATAGCTGGATACGGAAGAACAAGTAGGAAAAAAGAGGTATATGGTTTAAAGGACACTCAAGTCTCTGTCTTTGCAGCAGCGGAGTCCAAATGTAAAAAAAGTGACACAACCACAGGTTAATAACGTTCTTTCCCTTCAAAGATAAATTAAAACATGAAAAGGTCAAAATATATCCTATATCCCATGAAAATTCTTCTGAACATCATCACCACAAAACATCCCAATTTTGTAGCTAATGAATTAAGGTGACTTAGACTTACTCTGTGATTTTGGGGTCCAGGTTCCCAATCCATAATCGGTGCCCTTCCTGTAGAGAGCCCTCTGAAAGGATGGATGCGTTCTCCAGGGGAAGAGTTTTAGTTTCTGCTTCCATCAATCTCTATGAAATACTAAAGAAAACGTGAACACTCAGACAGGAGAAGAGTAACACTGTGTGAACATGAGACTTCAAATTCAACTCAACAAACATTTATTCAAGGAGGGCATGCCCTCTGGGCAGTCCTTCAAAGGCTTCGGTTATTCCACAACCAGGGCCCCAGAACCAGTTCCCTCGGGACAGTTCCTCTGGCAGCCAAAGCATAGAAGCTGCCATTTAAGGTGAAAGGGGCGTGGTTCAATGTGGAGAAACTAAAGTTTTCCTCCTCTGAAGCCAGAGGCTGACTGGGCAGAAGGCCAAGTTCTCTATTACTACACGATACTACAGTTCAACAACTGTCACCCAAAATAAGTCTTGGAAACCACCAGGAAGCGAGTCTTAACGGCATTAAAGGGGACGGGTACAGAAGAGCAGCATTACATTCCTTTTCCTCATGGAAGAGGCAATATTGCAAAGGAAACAGGCAATATAGGAAATCTGTGCATAGGTTTCAGAGTTAGAACTGGGTTTGAAAGTAGGTTGTGTGACTTGGTGAATTACCTGAACTCTCTAGGCCTCAGTTTCCTCATATATAGAAACGGAGATAAAGTTCTTATTTTATAAGGTTGTGAACATTAAAGATACCACATAAAAAAATCACTAAACACTGTATCTAACAGGAAGTAATCAATACACACAAGCTATTATCATGGTTAATATTTTATGAGAGACTGGGAAGAAGAGACTAATTTACTCCTTAGTTACTCCGTTCTGCCATTTGCTAGTTGTGTAAGTAACCTTGGGCAACTTATTTAAGCACTCTTTGCCTTGATTTCCTCATTTGTAAAATGGGTATAATACATCGTAAAATTATTAATATTGTGCAGATTCACTGAAGAACAGTGCACGGCACCTAGGAAACATTCAATTAATGTTAGCTTAAATTATTACTAGTCTTTAGCCAAAAAGAGTGAGAGTTACGATAGGGACAGCAGTGGAAAGAGCAGAAAGCTTGGTGTCAGAAGACCTGCTTTCAAACTGTGGCATTTCCACTGGAAATCATCTCTCTCAGCTTCAGTTTCCTCATCTTTAAATAATAAATTTTGCCCTGCTTATAACGTAAGGTTGCCAAGAGGACCAAAAATGAGATGACAGATGTAAAATAAAGCTTTAATAAATGTATAATGTGGTAGAGTAAGAAAGGATAAAGGGCCTGTGAAGATGGTAGGCTGTGCCAGACTTCAGAAGTCCCTGTTAGAGAACACATGGGTCCTATATATCCAGAAGTGCCTCAGAAGTCAGCACTGCAGGACCCATGTCTTACTAACAGCTCAGTGGGGCACGCTGGCTCATGCCTGTAATCCTAGCACTTTGCGAGGCGGAGGTAAGAGGATCACTTGAGGCCAGGAGTTCAAGACCAGCCTGAGCAACATAGCAAGACCCCTGTCTCTACAAAAAATAGAAAAAATTAGCCAGGTATGGTGGGTTGTAGCTGCAGTCCCAGCTACTCAGGAGGCTGAAGCAGGAGGATTGCTCGAGCCTAGGAGTTTGAGGTTTCAGTGAGCTGTGATGACACCACTGCACTCTAGCCCCAGCAACTGAGTGAGACCCTGTCTCAAAAACAAATCAAAACAGTTGACATACACTGACACTGCCATTACCTCTTATTCATCTCACCCTATAAAGCCAAGCACACGCAGTCCCTAAGTAATTGCTGAATACATTTCTCTACTTTCAGCACATGAGAGTATTTTCTTCCTTTCCTATTCACATCTTCAATATATTCAGCAATGTATGACAAGCAACTAGGTACTGTAAACCCTGGGCTATGTACTAAAAACAGAAAAACGAATAAGCTATAGCTCTTGCTTTTACACCTCCTGAGAGAAAGGTGAAACAGGCATAAACAGAATGCCAGGATTGTAAACAGGAGAGAAACATTTTGTCTTCTTCTTGCTTTTCTTTCTCCCTACTTTTCTTAAAACAAATCATTCATTAAAAAAATTTATTGAGTTTCTATTTTCTAGGCATTGCATAGTTTCTGCAGTCAGAGCAGTAAACAAGTAAGGTCCCTGTCCTCTGGATGCTTGTATTTGGAAAGGGAGCAAGACAAAACAAAAAGGAAAATAAATAAGACACAATTTGTGATAAATGCTGCAAACAATTAGGCAGGGTGATGTGACATGAGGTTGGACTACTTTAGATTGAGTGGAGGAAAGACCTCTCTAAAGCAGATGACATTTGAGTTGTGACTTGAATGACAGGACCTTCTCATTTTCTTATGCATAAAAACAGCAACAATAAGAATAGCTACATAACACCACAAAAAGGTATCATGTTTCAATGGGAAGAGTGCAGTATGTGAGGATGTGGATTCAAGCCCTGCTTTTGTATCTAGTTACTGTGTCTTTAGCAAGTCACATGATCTCCCTTTAAGTGTTCTCACCACAAAAAGCTATCCCTAATAGAGCCCCTTGTTATTCTACAGCATAGCTACCTTTTTCTTCCCATATAATGCTAATTCAATGTTATTTAATGTTCTGTCTTGTGTTTCCCTCACTAGAATGTCTTGATCATGGTTCTATTCCCCGCACTTAGTACATTGCCTGGCTTATGGTTGGTGCCCAATATTTACTAAATGATACAAGCCACTTCTCCACTCATACAGCCTTACTTTCTTCTTCCTTCCTCGGATGCAACAATTATCCCTATCTCATGAAATCGCTGTGAGTCTTAAATACGACAATATCGGTGACAGCTCAGCACAGGGCTTTTTGAGGAACGATAAAGTGTAATAAAAGATCAAGACAGCATGGCAAATCCTTTGAGTTTGCAATGGCGACAATCCCTTAGATTAAGAGAGTTCACAAAACGCTTTTACATCTATCCTCCTAGCTGAGCTGCAACCACCCAGGAAGCAGGAAGTCATTCGCAAATTAATTTAATTTGGAAATTAAAGTCCAGAGAAGCAAAGGCACTTAATCCTAAAAGCTAACAGCAGAGCCATCCTAGAATCCTGGCTTTCCGATCCCTGACCGCGAATTCCCAGAGGCGAGGGGTCATTACTCGGATTGTTATTTCCGGGCCAGTCGCGGGACAATCCGGGGCGGGGCCTGAGAAGCCGTCCTGCGAGGGCAGCCTCTTCTAAGACGTCCTCGCGGGGCCAGCCCTGAGGTACAGGGACACGTCGCGGCCGGACTCACCTCTGGCCTCGGCGTTGTGCCCTCAGCATATGCCCCGAAGGCAGGTCGCGACTTCGCGGACCAACAAACCTCTGGATGCGTCCGCCTCAACACCACCCGCTGCCAGGCCGCCCGTGACGCACTACGCCAGCGCCGCCGCCCCGCCCCCGTGACGTCACTACGCCGGCGCCGCCGCCGCCGCCGCCGTCGCCGTCGTTGCACGAGTCTTTCCTTAGTAACCTGGGCGATAGCTGGTGAGTGTCCTTGACAGGGCCTCGAGGCGGGCGCGTGGTCCGGGTGCTAGAGACCCTTATTCAAGGACCTCCGGGGGACCTCAGGGGATCAGACTACCGCCTCTGACCCGCTTATTTCGAGTCCTGCTTGACCTTTAAGGGTGGGGGCGAGATCTGTGGCTTTAGAGCGAGTCTACGGGATGGGGGCGGGACTCACCGGCTAGGAATTTAGTGGAGGCGGGGCGGGGAAGAGGGGTACTTACTCTAAATAGTTGCCGCTATTTAGTAGCACCCTACTTAACAGGAGCACTTAATTTTCAGAACAGTCCCTTGGGAGTAGGTATTATTATCTCCCATGTTGAAGAAACGGAAGCTCAAAGAGGTGATTTCACCGGTCACGCTACTAGTATGATAGAGCTTAAATTTAAACGTAGGTCTGTCTGACTCCAAAGCTTGAACTTTTAACCACTTCTCTGTGCTGCCCAGTAGCAAATCAGTTGTCATTTTAGTAGTTCTCTATTTACATGACCCAGTGCATACAGTGTTGTCATTATGTTTTACAGATGAGATCGAAGTCCAGAATCTAAGGTCACATATCTAGGGAGTCCTAGAACCAAGACTCTCCCGAATCTTCTCTAAGCCTGGTGCCTTTTCCTTTAACAACCTATTGCATTTCCCAGAATCTCAAAGAGCTTTATAGTTGGAAAGGATGAAAACCTGGCCTGACCCCTTCGTTTTATAGTTGAGGCAACAAAACCTAGGTAGGAGAAATGGCTTGGTGTAAGCCACAAGTCAGTGGTAGAACTGCCACAAGTGCTTTTTTGAGTAGGGGTGGTTATGAATATGACGGGAGTGGATGGCAGGGGGTGATGAGGTAGAAATACGGCAATCCAGCTCTCTGATGTCTTAGTCAAAAGCTCTTTCTCCACTTGTTAAGGTGCCTCATCCCTTCTTTGGCTGTGCCAGTGACATAATGATTCTGTGTATAGTCAGATTCTATAAGAACCTTTATTTACATGACATTGAATTTAGAAAAGAACATGCCCTACTGTCTCTAACAAAAATCTGGCAAACCAAGAGAGAGTGGAGTCAGTGTTGAGAAGCCCAGAAACGACCACTGGAGAGGTAGATTCCAATTCTGGTTCCAGCATTTTGACTCTGGGCAAGGGCTTAATCTTTCTGAACATTCATTCATGTATTTGTCACATTTATACAGTATCTTGTGTTCAGCCACTGTGATAGGCACTGGTGTATAGCAGTGAACAAGACAACCATAGACTAGTCCTTGTAGTGCTTTTAGTCATATGGAGGGAATTAGACAATACTCAATTATACAAATATTAGCATGTATTGTTAACAGTTAAATCCCATGATGAAGGAACAGGGTATTATGAAAGTGTATTACAGGACACCTTCCCTAGCTGGGTTGTAGGAGGTGGCCAAGGAAGGCATTGTCTGAGCAAGTGATGGTTAAGCTGAAATCTGAAAGAAAAATGGGTGGTAGTTAGTTAAAGAGGTGGGGGAAGATCATCAGGCAGATTCAGTGGCATGTTTGAAGACCCTGCAGCAGGAGGAGCTTTGAGAAATGAAACATGAGTTTGCTTTTCTTGTAAAATGTGAATGGTAATCACCACTCTTTGGTTATTACGAGAATCAAATAAGATAATCATGTAAACGTATTTTATATACAAAAAGGGCCTGTGTGTGCACACTCACATTTGTAAAAATGTACATATTGTGAGCTAGTATACAGCTGGATTGGAAGGGGTTGCTGGAAGCCAGGACTTTGAGTACATCATCTAGCTTTTTCCAAAATTAAAATGTACTTCCAAGAAAGAACAGGACTCTCAACTTTGGAAAAAGAATGTGTCTTTAAAGTAGTCTTAAAAAAAATTTCAACAGTTGGACATTACAATAGCTACTGTTTATTGTACACCTACTAGGTGCCAGGCATTGTATTATACTTTTTGTTTTTGAGACAGGGTCTCGCTATGTTGCCCAGGCTGGCCTTGAACTCCTGAGCTCAAGTAATCCTCCCACCTCAGCACCGCCCCCCCCCATAGTGAGCACTATAAGCATCCACCATCAAGCCCCGCTATTCTGACTGGTGTAGGTACACGGTATACTATAGTGGTTAAGAGCACAGACTCTAGAGCTAGATTGCCTGAATTTGAATCTTAAGCAAATTATTTATTTATACCTCTTTTTTCTCATCTGTAAAATGAGGATAGTCATAGTATTCATAGTGTTATCATGAGGCTCAAGTGAGTTAATGTATGTAAAGCACTTAGAATAGTTTCTGTCACATAGTTACCACTATATAAATGTTAAGCTATTGTTGTCATTGTTGTTATAATTACCTTTTTAAAGGCTCCTTAATAGCACCATGACAATGTGGTAGAAACTGTAGCTCAGAGAGGCTGACAAGGTCACATAGCTGGTAAGTGGGGGAACTGAGATTCCAGTTTGAGACTGCGTCCAAAGCCCAGACTTCCACCACATTGCTTCTGTGTATAGGTTAATTTTGTTAGGGACTACTTGGGCTCATAACAAATTTCTTTCCTCAACTTTAATTCTTTATCTGTGCTGAACTGAATGTTAATGTGTATGTCCTTAAGGTAAAGGATCTAAGGGACTGCCTTATTGAACTTCCACTTTGAAATTTCCTGACTTCTGTGCAATTAAAATCTACGCCTTAAGCATTTCAGCAATGTGGTTTATTTATAGAGTCGTCTTCCGGTTCATGTGTACTGGGTCTCCTTTTGGGTGCTGTGTTTTCTGTCAAAGGTTATTTATTTCTAAACCATTTTGATTTCCTGTTGCTTTGTGGGTTGGTATTATGACCCACAACAGGAACACCAGGAAACCTGTCTTAAATGGAGCAGCCAGATTGAGACCGTGTAGATTAAAAAAAAACTACACATTATTTTACAGCCATATTTGGTTATAAGGGTGAGTTAGGCATTGGCTTTATTAGGGAAAAACCTAGATATAGAAACTTCACTCTGAGCCAAACTTTGTGAACAGTTCTGATGAAATAGGTCTGGGCTATTATTAACTCCGTGTCCTTGGATAGTGTCTTAATCTCTTTGAGCCTCAGTTTCAACATTTGTAAAATGGGCATTATTATACTTTCTCTGTGGCATTATGAAGAAGATTAGATGAAATAATATTGGTAAAGCAAACAGCCCAGGCCTGACCTCAATTAATAGTAGTTATTAATAATAGTAATTAAAGAAGAAGAGGAAAAAATATTCCTTCATTTTTCATCCAGATCTGTTTTTGCAGACTTTGTATGTTGATTACTGACTTCTAGCATCCCTTGATACTAAAAATTCCACCAGGAGAAATTATTTGACTTTATACTACTCATTTGCTTGCTTTTTTTTTTTTTTTAAAATAATAATAGCCACCATTTATTAAGCAGCTGCTATATTTCAGCACTGTGCTAGGTGTTTTACATGCATTCACTATTTCATTTTATTTAAGATCAGGTTTATTTTTCTTATTGATGAAGAAAGTGATGTCCAGAAAGGAAGAGTGAATTGCCCAAAGTTGAAATTTGCATTCAGGTCTGACTGACTCTAGGCTACCTTGCACATCGTTAATGACACATAAGTTTTCTTTAGTGTATCTGCCTCTAGCATGAAAGTCTTTTGAAAGAAAAGGTGATAGCTATCAACAAGTATTTTTTGGGCTCCTGTCTGCTAGGCACTGTGCCAAGTATTTTACTTGCATAACCTTATTAATTATTCCCAACCCTAAGAAATAAGCATAATTATCCCCATTTTACAGTTGAAGAAATCAAAGCACAGGGAGCATTCAGTATTTAGTCAGTGGTGGAGCTAGGATTGGATTGTAGCTCTTATTCACTCCATTATATTGCATCAAAATTTTAGGATGGGATTTTTTTTTTTTTTATGAGGTGTGGGACTGATTTTCAAAGATAGCAGCTTCCAGGTTTTTGATGCTAATTGTTCTTAATTTTTAGCTGAGTGATAGCCAGATTCCTGGCAGAAGCATCGTCAGCTAATTAGGACTGTGTTCTATCCCAGAGGTACCTGTAGGCGATAGCATCTTTCCATGGTCAAAGACCTCAGAAGTATAATGTGTAACTTGTGTTAACACAGTGGAGGGTGGCATTTCCAGAGCTTTAGTTCTATACCATGGAGGACCTCAAACCTCAATCATGCTTTATACTTACATTAAAGTGCATTCTAATTGGTAATCAGTGCATAAGGAACCAAAGAAAATTTTAATTAAATGCTGTCGTGTGAATTTTCCAGTCATTTTATGCCTGTTGAAATGGTTTTTTTTATAAAATTTAAAGTCCTCTTCTAGTCCTCTGTTCTCCCTCTTTAAACTTTATCAAGATTTTGTGCTTTTTCCCTTATAAGGGTTTAATTAGCATCATTAAATATTTAGTCTGCTGCATATTTGCTTAGCAGGCATTTTGGTGGAGTGGAAAGAGCTTGAGTTTGGAGTCCTGCAGACTGTGGGCAAATAACTTAAATCTCTGTTAGCCTCAGTTTCTTCATTCTGTAAGATGAGACTAATAATATTTCCTTCTAGGGCTGTTGGGAAAAGGATTTGAGATAATGTATTTAAGTTGCCTAGTACATAGCTTAGTTTATAGGAATTGTTTGATAGTTCATATGAATTATTTTCTGAAGTTGCAATAGGGTCTCTTTTACTTACATCTCCTTTTTGTCTTATTCTTTTTAGTGGATGTTCCCAAGGATTGTCTTCAGTCATGGCCTTGGGATTAAAGTGCTTCCGCATGGCCCACCCTGCCTTTCGCAATTACCTCGCAGCGTTGACCAGACCTATTTCAGAAGTTACACTGAAGACAGTGTGTGAAAGACAACACGAGCATAGGCAATATATAGGCTTTTCAGCTGTCCCAATCCGCCATTTTGCTACCAAGAAAGCCAAAGGTAGAGACATATGACCTCCTCTCCCTCCTTACCCCTTTTTTATATTTGGCCCTTGAATTATCATAGCTGGCAGGGATCTCAGAGATGCACTGGGTTTTTCCTTTTGCCCACATGAGGATATGGTATCTCAGATAGGTCAGTTGATTAGCTTAAAAGGTCATAGTGGCAGAGATGGTGTTAGCACCTGGGCCTGTTTTCTCATTACCATGCTGTCTCATCCGTTTTCTTGGTAGCTCAGAAAATGCCTAATTTGTTGTAGATGTAGAATTAGAGCTGTAAGTGCCAAGCAAACCAGAATGCTTGTGTCTGGGATCGCCATAGTCTCTCCTTATGGGAAGATGGATGTTGGAAGTGTAATGAAAACCAGAAGATTGTTGGGTGACTGGGGTATCAGAGCCATAGATTTAGATGGATGATCTTAATGGCTTGTGTCATCCAAGAATGAGACTTTGATATACTGCAGGTATCAGCTTAAATGCCACTTCCTCAGGGAAGCCTTCCCTGACCTCTTAGACTAGGTCAGGTCCCCTGTTACCTGCACTCGTGCATACTATTATTTTACCTTTGAAGTGCTTAGAACAGTAGTCGTTAATTATTAATAATTAATTGTAAAATCGATTATTGTTTGTTATCTCTCTTCTCTGCTGGGCTGGATGAAGATAGGGTCTATGTCTATCTTATTTAACACCTAACAGGGCCTGACACATAGTATGTATTCAAAAATTTTGTTGAATGAGTGACAGAAAATTGTCAAGCAGACTAGCCATTTGTAGTGGTGGGTCAGGGAGTCTACTCCCAAAGATAGTGCTAGATATATGCTGCTGAATATTTTCCCAGACTTTCTTTTTTTGATTTCATATAGATCTTTCCCTTTCTGTTAATAGGAAAATTAACGAGTTGCTGAAAGAAGATTAATGTTTAGAAGACTTATATTCTGTTAATAACGATAATAGTATTAACTTGTGATCTGTATGTTGTGTTATATTCTTTAAAAGTTCTCATACATTTACTAATTTGATCCTAATAATTATCCATTGAAGGAATTACAATTTTCAAGTGAAGAAATCCTTATAATTATCTAGTGAATCCAGATCTTACCATTTTGTGAATGAGGAAACTGAGGTACATTTGTGAGAAATTTGCCTGTGTTCGTATCTAATTATTAGTAGTGGCAGAACCAGAAACCTGGGACTCTCGTGATGCCTGCAGCATTACAGTCTTTTAGTGCACTAGACATTAACTACAGCATGTAAGCAGCATCTTCTCACATTTTGTAGGCTATATTCGGTTTTGTCTTCTTGATTGCCTCCTTAAGAAGTTGATTGTTTGACTTTTTCTTTTAGATTTATTGGATTCTTTCTATACTAGGGGTGCTAATCTTTTGTTGATTGTATATGTTACAAGCATTTTCTTTGCTTTTTACTTCTTGGTGTCTTTGTTGAATGTAGTTTTAGTGTAGTCATGTTTTTCAGTCTTTTTGTTTCTCATTATGCTTTATGTGTCTTCTTTAAGAAATCCTTCCCCATCCCAAGGTAATTTATTTCTGAACATGGTGTGAGGTAAGAAATCTAATTTTAACTTTCTTTTCCGTATGGGTAATAAGTTGTGCCAACATCATTTGTTGATTAGCCCATTCTTCACTCGCAGGTTTGTAACGCCCCCTCTGTTGTATGTTGTTTCTTTATATGTATGGCTTTGTTTCTGCATTCTTGATTTTGTTGAACTACTTATTTCTCCCCGCTCTAATTTCCTTACTGCCTGAATCTCAGTCATAAAGTCTACAAATCTCCCCACCACACACATACGTTTTCTTCCTGATTTTCTGCTGTTCAGTATGAAATTTATGATCATATTGTCAAGTTTTCTCCAGAAAGATCTTGCACAGTTTTTTATTTTTGGTTTTTTTTAAATTTTTTTGAGATGGGTTCTCGCTATGTTGTCCAGGCTGGTCCCAGACTCCTGGGTGGGTGCAGGTGATTCTCCCGGCCTTAGCCTCCCAAGTCGCTGGGCTTCCAGGCACACGCCCCCACTCCTGGCTTGCACAGTTTGTTAATCAGGTTTATTTCTAGGGTATCATATCATTTTTGTCACTTATATATATGTTTTTTAAGTTATATATACAGAAAAGTACATACTTAAATCGTAAGTTTATGGCTCAGCGAATTTTTGCAAAGTGAACATGATCATGTAACTGTCACCCAGATCAAGTAATAGGATGTTACTTGTATTCTAGAAGTGTCACTCATGTCCCTTTCAGTGTCACTCTTCCGCTATATTGATAGATAATCCACTGTATTGACTTTAACACCACAGATTAGTTTTGTCCTTTTTGAACTCAGGGTGGATTCTTTTGTGTCTGGCTTCTTTCGGTAACAATCTGTTTGTGAGATTTGTCCATGTTGTACATATAGCCGTTGTTTGAGTATTTTTATTTTCTGATAGTATACTATTGGAAGTATATACTACAATTTGGGTATTCATTCCGCAGTTGATGGACATTTGGGTTGCTTCCAGTTTTGAGCTACAGCAAATAATGCTACTGTGAACATTCTTGTACGTGTGTTTTGGTGCACATATGTGTACATGTGTTCCCTCTTGTTTTTTTAAATTCTACTCCTCCCTTTCACTGGCTAGGTAGGGACTCTAGTATAATTTGAATAAATGTGATTGATGATAATAGGCATCCTTGTTTTATTCTTGACTTTATAGGGAACAATTTCTTGTATGTTAACATTAAGAATTATGTTTGCTTTGCTTTTGGTAGACTCTTAAATATTAATATTTTCTATCCCTATTTTTCTAGGAGTTTTTGTTTCAAATCTTAAATTTTAATCAAGTGAATTAATAAATGCTCTTGCTGTATTTATTAAGGTGATCATATTTTTTTCTCTTTTAATCTATTAATGTGGTGATTCAACATCAATAGCTTTTTCTGATGTTAAACCACTTCTGCTTTCTTGCTGTGGGCCCTACAGTATATATATATACAGTAGATACACAAAATCTGTATATATGTTGCTATATTTGGTTTGCTATTATTAGTTTAGAATTTTTGAGTCTGTATTTGTGAGATTAGCCTTTTTTTCTTCCTCCTCTTCCTCCTCGATTAGCCTTAATGCAACTTTCTAATATTGATGGGCATGACTTTCTAAGTATTATTATTCTCTGATTTTGATGTTAAGACTATATTAGCCTCATAATGTGAGTTGGGGAGTGCATCTTTCTCTCTTAATGGGATGGTCTATAAAAAAATGAGGATTATCAGTTCCTTGCATGTTTGATAGAGCTTGCCTATGAAATCATCTGGATCTGATGTTTGTGTATGTGCATGTGTGTATGTGGCCTTTAAATCAGAGATTTGATTTCCTCAATGATAATGAGAATTTTTTTTTTTTTTCTTTTTGAGACAGAGTCTTACTCTGTCACCCTGGGTAGAGTACAGTGGCATCATAGCTCACTGCAACCTTCAACTCCTGGGCTCAAGTGATCCTCCTGCCTCAGCTTTCTGAGTAGCTGGGACTACAGACACATGCCATGACGCTTGGCTAATTTTTCTATTTTTAGTAGAGGCGGGGTCTGACTCTTGCTCACACTGGTCTCAAAC